AGCCCCATCCCTCCCCTCTATTTCACTACATTTTCAGTTTTGTATGAGAATCATAACTTTGTCGAATGAAATCATAGTACAAGTGTAGTCTTACTACTTAATTTCTAACAACGATATTATTCGAAATACATTTATAAAGATATTTCATTTTGAAATTATTTTAGGTGATTTAATTCTGCGTTAAGGACCTCTATGAGCTTTCTTGCGGGTAGTATTGTAAACCGCTTTAGTATTTTATTTCTATGTTGGTAAAGAATATTTGAATGATTAAAGGTATTTGTTTATTGCAACATGCATCTTTGAAAAATTGTTATACGTTTAGAGAAATGTCTCCTAAGGTATCTGTCAATCGTGAATAAAATCTTCACCCGTGTGGGGCGCAGCTTGGATGCTATTTGCAGGCGCTCTTGTATGAAATCTTCTCAGTCTTGCGTGTTGTGTTAGCGTGCAGCACCACCGGGGGTGTCTTTATCGCTCTCGCCGTTTTGTCTAATCCTCTTTGAATGTCTTGGCTAGGCATTTACGGAAGTCAACTCTCTCGCAAGGTTTCTTGACCGTCTACAGTGGGTTTGTATTCGGCCTGTAATCGCTGTTCTGTTTCCCGTAAATTCTCAGTTGGTTCGTGGTTGAATCCTCTCACCGTGAACGGCGCACTTTGTAAGGTTCCACAAAGTGTGTCACGCATTTTAAGCGTGGTTATAGCGTAAAAGAAAATATTCAGATCGTATTGCTTAAGTTCTATAGTTTATGAATGTAAAAAACTGGACAAATATCCTTTAAATTATCTTTCTTTGCTATAATCCCGTTCAGTATAGAGCAAAATATTACATAACGATAGTCGCTGGAAAAAATCGTCTTTAAACTATAAGCCACAGGAGTGCTTGTATTAACAATTATTACCGTTATAAAAAAGTGTGATGAATATCAATAGATACTGCATAATAGAAATATTCAGCTATAAAGGTATGACAGTTAATACACAGTTCAATTACTAAGATAACAGTTTCTATCTTCTACCGTAATCAACCAAGAAATCAGCGATTCCTTCATTATCACCAACGTCTATGGGTGTTCTAGTATGTTTCTACGTTCGTGCTGACCTAGAGGACGTCAACCGCAACCATACTAACTTTATGTAATAATTACTAAAATTATTTGGAGTGATCTGATCTATTAGAAAGATAAGAAAACATAAAACCATATCAGAAATGCGCAGAACTACACATTTTAGTAAACGCGTCTTCTGTGATATCTGCGTGTTCAGTCTCACTTATAAAAAAGGCAAAGACATTATCGTGCATTAGGTCACGTTAAGATCTCCGCGCGAGTTTCATGCTTGCGTGTGTCGCGTATCCGGGGAGCCCCGCTGGGGGTTGTCTTTGTCTGTCTCACTCGCCGTTCTCTCTAATACCCGCTGGATGTCTTGCCTGGATCTTTCTCGCTCACAGGATCTCTCCATCCATTTGAATGAGTCCGTAACCTTGGAGTAATCGCTTTACTTCTAGTAACCGCCCTGAGCTCTCAGTTTGGTCTGATTACTCGAATTTCCTTGGTTCCTTTTGGACGTTTGGCTGTTTTACGCAAAGTCAGTAATGTCTCATTAGTTTTTAAAATGAGAATTTTTAATATATTTCGCCTTGGATAATTAGTTTCACATTTTATCTCGTGAGTGAGTAGAAGGTAGAAAGATCATATTAGTGAAAGTTTTTAAGCTCAGAAACATCTGTGATAGAAATACTTCACATTGTAATAAAATGTTAGACATTTTTAAATGCAAAGTTAATAATTCATTGTCCCAAAACATCCTTGTAATGAATATAGGATTAAGTTTAAAATTGTAAAAGTCAATCTTATTATTACATTTGGAGAAAATAGAAACTCAGATTCATACAATTAGAGGCAATAGAGGTACGAATGAAATACATTTACCTTTTTTTAAAAACCAATCAGTAGACAGCGTTCATTTTGGTTGATAATTTCAAAAACCCGGTAACAAATTTAAATGGAAATATAAAATGGCTCCATAAATAACATTTCTGCCATGTTTTTTCCTGCCATGAGGAAACCGAGATAAAGTGTGATACTCCCTAATTTTGAAATACATGTTTTTCATTCCCCAAAGGAAATAATAAATTTTACTTTATGACTGCGAATCCCTATTCGTCACATTTTATCTGATGTTTTAACTCTTTATCCAACATCGTTTCCTTTGGGATATAGAAGTCCCTATTGAATATCGATTCTTTGGTATTTTCGTGACGGTATGGATGTTGCCAACTCTGTTATGAAATACAGTTACCAGTTCCGAAAAATTAGAGACCTGTCACAGTTTTCATTTTTGGCAAGTGATACTAGAGTACATTTTCATCAACATGTATAAAAATGTCAATAAAAAGTGTTGTATTACACATATGGTTAGCCATTGATTTCGGATCGCCCGTTCCGTATTCCGTTGCACCTACGATGAGTGCCAGTAGTTTTCTTCTTTGAATAGTTGAAAATTAAGTGCACAGGAATCGCGAATCGTTGTTTATTTATACTATTTTCAAACAAAATACTTTGCTTTCGCGAATTTTAATAAGTCATTTCTGTCTTTAACGTCATTCCCATCATACAGATCTAAATAATTGTGGACAACACATTAAACAATGCTTGCGCCCTAACATTTTACGCTGTCGTATTCGGCCATTTTCCATCCTCTCTGCGTAGCCTTCAGATCAGTGTCCACAGTGTCGTCGCCGCCCCCACCTCTGTCGCCGCCACAGTCCCGCCACAGTACCGCCACAGTCCCGCCACAGTCTCCATAGTCCCGTCACAGTCCCGCCGCCCCGCCGTCCTACCGTCCCACCGTCTCGCCGTCTTGCCGTCCCACCGTCCCGCCATCCTGCCGTCCCACCGTCCCGCCGTCCTACTGCCCCTCACCACACGCCACCGCTCTGCCGCCTCCACTACCTCCACCACCGTCTCCGGCGCGAGGTCTCATCGGCAAAGTCGGAACGTCTGACGCATCTGGCGCCTTTTATGAAGAAGCAGCCCGTTCCAGGCGACTTCCTGTTCCTTCCTGCTCCGATCTCTCTGGTCGTGTTCCACAAGCACGCACCCTCTCTACTTGGGCTCTTTGCTCTCGTCTGATATGCTTGTTCTCCCCCTTCACCAACTCCCCGCATCTCTCCACAATTCTCACCGCTTCTCTGCGACCCCTAACTGCACCACCTGACTCTTTTCAACTCACATCTACCGCCCTTCCCTTCTCCGCGTTCTTTCATCCTAAATCTCCGCGTTTCGTCCTGTCGTGCCAGATCGTTCACCGCTTTTCTCCATATTTTCTCTCTCGCGATCAGCAACTGGGCTCCGTGTCTCCTCTCGTTCCACAGCGCTCCGCTTGGCTCCTCCTGGACCTCCTCACGCAATCACGCCCGCCTTAGTCCATCACTTGCTATTATATTCAACACTGTTCCCCACACTTTGTCTCAATCACATTCCGACCGCTCTGGACTTTTTCTGTTACATCCTTCCCCTCCTTACCTTCCTCTACCTTTCCCTAACTCTCCCCACGTTTTATCATACGAATCGCTCCTCTTCCATCTACATACTTGTCATACCGTCCTTCCTTTTCATCACTACTTCCTCACGTATAAGTATCCACACCTCATTTCTCTACCTAACCTTTCAAATAGCAGACATCAATGTTGCTTAATTTCTTTCGATCTCTTCGTACCCTTTATTTTGTAATTCCATTCTCGAGTCACTTTTTCATTCCCTTGTTACTTGGTCAAAACTAATCCAAGGTGTGGTTACAAACAAGTCTCACCCCATCCAATCACGGCCGGATGTTCCAGCTCTCGTGTTTCATTTTTCGCCTTTCGAATCGTGTAGGAATAATCTGCCTGAAGTGATATCGCGCCAGGCAAATTTGGATTTATGGGCTGCCGCAAACGAAGATCGTAAATCGAAGTATGTGGACAGTTACTGTAACCGCTGCTTAAGCTACTGTTGTTACACACTTCCTTCTACTTACATTGATCGTTACATTAAGTCTTAACTGGATTTCGTTGCCAATCTTCGTTCGATGAATGCAAATACTCGTACTAACGTAACAATATTCACGGTATTGTTTGAGTAATCATTAAATTTTGTTTCTGATATTATATGCGTGTATCAGTCTTATTTTTTGATATAGACTTTTACATGAAGCCGCTCCACGTGGTAATTTATTACATGTACAATATATAATACATCAGTAGTATTATTGTATACGATGGCCGTCAAATCAAAGTGAATATCCTAATTCTTAATTTGATAAATAGTTGATACACTTCCTAAGATTACGATTTAAATCAACTTGACACTCTATTGCTCCGAGTCATACATTGGTCCACTTCAGTAAATAGCAGGTGGAATTATGAAATGAGCATCAGTGGAATTATGAAATGAGCATCGGTGGAATTATGAAATGAGCATCGGTGGAATTATGAAATGAGCATCGGTGGAATTATGAAATGTGTGGCGAGTGGCAAGGGTGAGAGTGGCGTTGGGGGCGAGGGCGAGTGGCGAAGGCGACTCACCTTCCTTGTCCTCCTGCTCGAGCAGCGCCTCCAGCTCGAGGTCGTCGATCATAAGGCCCAGCGTGTTGAGGATGGTGCGCACCTTCTCCTTCTCGATGCGGCCCGCCTTGCCCGAGTCGAACATGGAGAACGCCCGGCGCAGCACTGCGCAACGACCACTTAGCGACCTTCTCTCCCCCCCCCCCACACACACACACACACACACACACACACACACACACACGAGGCGCAGGACGAACCAAGAGCGCCGAACACAGAACCTACGTGTTCTTGTTTAAGATTTCTAGGGGAATTAGAAAATGTTTCGTTGCACGTGTAATCTGATATTTCAGGTCGTTTAGAAATCATTTCGTTATTACTATTATTATTATTATTATATAATTATTATTCGAGTAATTTACAGAATTGTCAGACTCTAATTTGCAAAATCAAATTATATGTAATTTAGAGGATTTATAATTAAAAAATAAATGGGGCCAGCCTTACGCGTTTCCCTATAATAAGATATTTCATGCGAGTGATTTAATATACGAAGACGAAAGAATGAATAGAAAAGGTAAAAACCAACGAATTTAGGTTTTTGGGTTTTACTTGTAATACTTGTTACTTTCGTCGAACAGATTCTGTAGCATAAAATTTGCGAATTTTTAATCATAATCACAAAAAAACATTAGTTATAGAGATTGTTTGTAAAACTTCGTCACTTATTTTTGACTCTCAGGTAAGTGTGCAATTTTGAAATCCTGTATATAACTACACGAATATAACTTGAAATCTTATTAAAGGAATGTATTTTGAAACGTGATGAATGTTCCGTCTGTTGGTTCATCCTGAATCTCGAAGTCCTGAGTATCAATACTTACTGGTCACCTGCTCTTCGTCCAGTGCTTCCGTCTGAAACAGAAAACATGCGACACATGAGCAAATTTTGATTTGGAAGAAATTTAATTAATAAATAAGCCCATTTATGCGTAATAATGAAAACGTTTAAAAAAATAAATGCAGTATGTTTAAATTTTTGTCGTGATTTTCAAAATGTATCTCAACGACCTTTTTATTGGACATTTAATGCAAAATATTTAAAGAAGAAACAATGCATTGGTGAAAAATGATATAATATAATCACAAAGTCGTAAATTCTTCAACCTGTAAAATCATTCATCGATTAAACTATTATTGCATGGCTTTGTGCCTTAATCAACTGAACAAATACGGTGGTTTAATTAAAAGGGGCGCGGTAGCGTGGGAATTAACTTTATTTTTGTAAGCGAAAAGAGAAACAGAGTTTGTGTACATGTAGATATTTTCCAGTTTACTTATACAAGTGCAGTTGTTTCTGCTTTCTATTTACTCGTATTATACATCCACGAACCCGCAGAAACAGCGTTTGTAGTATAATGTTTTGTGGGGAAATATCTTTATTTTGGATGTGTTCACTGCATTGCCTCCCTTTCATTGAGGTTTCCTGCCCAGCACGGATCTCGTGAGTGCAACCCTTGACCCAATTCGCAACCAGGGCGAGTCGTAGGCAACTTCCGCGCTCTTCACTTCCCAGCGCCCCCGCCCTCCACCCCTCCGCCGCAGGGCCTTAGCCCTCGGCCCTGGCGTTCTTCAGACGCGCCGACCGCGCGGAAGGGCCGCGCAGGAAGGGCGGAGCGCAGCCGCCGCCCCCGCCGTAAATCTGCCTCGCCGCAGGGCTGCGCGGTGCGATAATGTCGCTTCCGCTGATCCTCCAAAGCCACGGCGCCTCTCGCTGGCCTCCGCGCCGCAATCCTCCGCTCTCGAAACGAAAATCCTAAGTTCTCTCGCTTCCCAATCCTGGACGAGCATCAATCCTAACAACCCTAAAATTTCTCTTTCTGAACCTGACGAATTTTTCACTTCCCGGTTTCGAATAATAAAAATGATATTCATTCTTCATTATAAATTGCAGCTAATCCTAAAGTTTCTACATTTCATGTTATACGTGTTTTATGAATCTTTTGAATTATGGAAATACATTTAAGACGTGTAGAATATGTTTCTGCCAATCACCTATATCCTTTCGCCTTTGCTGACAAGCTACCCACATCGTGCTTACTCGCAATTTACAGTCCTTTGCCAGTTGTTTAATAATTCTAAAAATGTATTTGAGAAATGCGTTTACGACTACATTATGTAGAAACCTTTAAGTACACGAAATGTTTTCATTGCCTTTAAACCAAATTTTTTAGAAGTGTTTTTTTAATTTCTTCCAATACACAAATTGTTAACGTTCAGATAAAATAAACGTCCCAATTTATTCAAATGTTTTAATGAGAAACATATTGTTTGGAAATACGATTTTGGATGTTTTCAATGTCAATTTTGGATTTTGAAAATGCGGTAAAATAATATTAGAATATGTAAATAAAAGTTCTAATCATCATAATTATGAGTCCAATAGTTTTGTAAATAAGAGGAATTTGACGACCCAATGATCAGCGAATTCAAAGAGTTTGAACATTTTAGGATTAGAGGAGTCAAGAAATCGAATCAAAAAACTACAACCCAACTGTCTGTCACTTCGTTTCTGTCATGTCTTTCTGTGGTTCACTGTACACAAAAACTCGATTTCTTTCGGTGCCACTTGCCGACCTCGTACATTCCTCCCTGGCAGGAATTTGCTGCAAACGACGGTAGTACGCTGCTGACGGCG